TCCAGCCAGGGTATGGCCCTGATGCCCCAACAACCCCATTGCACCTATTTCCCATGTTTCCTGAGTGGCACAGGGTCTCCCACATGCCATGGGGTGCCTACTCCCTGTCCCCTGTCCGCCAAGTTCAGACTGGCACCCTCCTTCCTAACCCTCCTCCCTGGGACCTGGCTGTGGACCACTCCACCGCCTCCAGCTGCTTCCCAGAACTAGGGTATTCTCAGCTCAGGCCTGCGACTTGGTCAGTCTGTCTCCAAGGGGGACAGGGCATCTCCTCAGGCCAGTGTAAACCTCCTGAGACTTGCTACATGTTGCAGTGGGGAGATGCTCCCCCTCCCCATGAATGATTACCTTAAACACCCCCACACACACACTGATCCAGGGCTGGTACTTCGGGCCTGCCAGTGGTACCTGCAGAGGCACAATCCTGGGCAAGGCTAGAGGCTGTCTCCAGGCCACCTGTGGGATAAACAGCCTGGTGCACACATGGGCCTCTGGCAGCTACTCCACTTCTGAGCACACAGGGCAGACTTCACAAAATTAAATGTGGCCACACAAGGCAGGAAAGGGAAGGTGTCGGAGCCCTGCAGACTACTGGCTCCTAAACCCTTTCAGGCTGCCAGATGCTTTTAAGAAGCTTAAAGATCTCCTCAGAAAAGCACACTGAGACTCATATTTGCAAACAGTCTAAGGGAGTCCTTGAGCACTTCTCCACAGTCCTTGGTTACAGATCCTCTACTGGGTCAGCTAGCTGACCTCCCATCTGACATCAAGCCAACATACAAATACACCTTCCAGGATCTAAAACACAACCTCTCCTTTATTCCTCCCCTAGCTCAGTAAATCAGATTTAAAGGTTCTGCTTTCAGTGTGGATCAGTGACTCTCAGCTCAGAGCATGGCAGTCACCAGCAGCTGTGACCAGAGCTCCTTGGTGACACCTCTGCAGGAGGAGGGTGGGAACAGCACCAGCTCCTACTGCTGTTGGGCTACAGTGAGGACCAAAGCCTGGAGATGGCCAGTGCTCAGCTTCCTCTAACCGATCTCTTGTGCACTTACTTCTAAATGTTTCTATTATTTTTCTTGGTATAAATGATCACTTAAATATTTTCTTTGTAAAGATGCTTAAAACTCCTGCGCACACACACAAACCCTGCTGGGGGGGAAAATGGCAAGTTTTGTGTATATGTGTGTGTGTCTGTGTGTATATATATATATATATACATACATATACATACACACAAATGTAACTTGTTTGGATTAGTTTTATAGTCAGCTATATTATGCTGTTATTAATACTTAGCATTAATACACCTCTACTATTTTTCATAGAGGAACACAGATCCCTTTCAGCTTTGTGTATACAATCAAGTCTGAGTCATGTTTGTGCTACCCTCAGGCCTTTCTTCTCATCTTACCTTCCTCCCTGAAAGGTAACAGTAGCTTCCTTGTCTTGAAGGCATGTCACTTTGAATCACTGTTTACAATAACATCTTTCAGGGACAGACAATCTTTATTAAAGAATTTTCCTTCTCATTCTGGTTTACTTAGAGGAACTGTGGGGTGGGCCCTCTGCACCTCCTGGGAGGACAGCATCACTCTCCTTTATTACTGTGGTGACTTAACCATTGTTGTCAAGTTGAAAACAACTCACAGCAACTGTGTGAACAGATCTGAACTCTGTCCTATCCTGTGCAATCCTTACATTTTCTGACACACTCGAGCCCACTGCAGCTGTCACTGTCAATCCATTTGGCTGAGGACCCTTTCTAACCTTTCTAAACATAATGTCCTCTCCAAGGAATAGACTCAGTAACATGCCCAAAGTTATGTGAGAAGCTTTATCATCTTTGCTTCCAAAGAGCACTCTGGCTGCACTTTCTCCAAAACTTACTTGTTCTTTTGGCAGTCCATAGGATATTCAGTACTATTTATTCTCCAACACCACACCTCAAAGGCATGAGTTCTTGTCATCTTTGTTCATTATCCAGCTATCATATGTATAGCAAGTGATTGAAAAAGACCTGAATCAGGTGTACCTTCATCCTCAAACTGACATCATTGACCCTCAATAATTTGAAAGGGTCCTCAACTGCAGAATTTTCCAGTTCAATACATCTCCTGATTGCTGATATCAAGGGTGTTATGTGGATCCAAGAAAGATGAAATCGCTAACTTCAATCTTTTCTCCATTTAAAATGATGTTGCCTATTGGTTCAGTGGTAGGAATTATTTTTTGATGTTGTGATGGGATCCGTATTTTAGGCTGCATTCTTTGATCTTCTTTAACAAATGCTTCAAGTCCTCCTCACTTTCAGCAAGCAAGGTTGTGTCACCTGCATAATGCAGGTTCTTGAGGAGTCTTCCTGATCCTGATGCCACATTCTTCATAGAGTTCAGCTTCTCAAATAACTTGCTCAGAATACAGATTGAATAGGTATGGAGAAAGGATACAACCCTGACACACTCCTTAATTTTTAACCATTTATGTTCTATTGGTTTGTTTCTACAACAGCCTCTTGGTCCAGGTATAGAATAAACACAAGTGTTCTGGAATTCCCATTCTTTTTAATGTTAGCCACAAGCTGTTACGAACCACAGAGTCAAATACCTTTCCATAGTCAAAGAAGCATAAATAGATATTCTTCTGGCATTCTTTATTTTCAGCCAGGACTCAACTGACATCAGCAATGATATCCCTAGTGCCACAAACTCTTCTAAATCCTGCTTGAACTTCTGTATTTGTACTGTTCTAGCCAATTTTGAATGATCTTCAGCAATATTTTGCTTGCATGTGATATTGATAGTTTAATAATTTTGACATTCTGTTGGATCACCTTTCTTGGGAATGGGAAAAAATAAGATCTCTCCCAGTCAGCCAGACTTAGCCATTCCTAATTCTCAAGTATTAACCCAAAGGGAACTCTGGTGGTGCAGTATAGGGAGTTGCCCTATCGCAAAGGTGGCAATTCTGATGATCCAAGTCCACCAGCAGATCCTCAGAAGAAAGATGGGCCACTTACTCCTAAACAATTTACAGCCTTGGAAACATGCTGGAAGTTATGACTTGATTGCATGAGGTTTCATGGCAGTGAGAGACCATCTCTGCACATGACTTCTTTTATATATTGTTGGATTATTTGATCCTTTACTTCTGCATATGCTTCTACAGGTAAGCCTGAAGCTATTTCTTGTACTGTCCTTGGTGAGCTCTGGTGGCAGAGGTTGGAGAGAGTACCACTCCTAACCCAAAGGCTGAGCCTCTTTGTTGGTTCAAATCCACCAGTAGCTCCACAGGAGGAAGAGGGGCAATTTCCTCCTGCACAATTTATATCCTTGGGAACATGCTGGAAGGCCAGCTAGAGGAGTCCAAGTTGATAGCAGTGAGTGTGAACACCATCCTCAAGCTGTCATATCCAAGTAATGCTCCTCCAATTTGTCACCTCAGAGTACGGACAGCCTCATAAAAGAAAGCTCTGGTGGCCTACTGGGTATAGTCTGTCAACCCAAAGGCATGTAGTTCAAACTCACCACCTACTCTGAGGAAGAGAGACAATCTCCTCCTATCTGACTTACTGCCCAAGAACCCACTGGAGCGTCAGCTATGAGTTGGTTCCAACTCAATGGCACATAACAAGTCTCATAAAATGAAGCAAAGTACCTTATATTTTTCTGTTATGATTTTAATGACTTGCACATCATTAATATTCTCCGACGTCATCAGGAAGAATTTACCAAAGAAGCCTCTGGCCTGTAGTTCACTTTGTAGGAAGGTATTTGATCACCACACAGTTTTTCTCAGTGGTCAGGGAACTGTTCGGCTTTCCAATTCTTCTTGAGTCTGTTTTGTTAAGTTGTATTTTTGTAGAAATTTGTATTACAGTTTACATGAACGTTCAAAGTTTCTGTCATCATTTCTATCACCTTATTCTCTACTGTCTGCAACATCTGTAGTGATTTTCTCTTTTTAACCCCCGAACTCTGTGATCAGTGCCTTCCACCACAGGCTAGCAATCTTATTAATAGTGTTTATGTGTTCTGTTCCTGCTTTTAAATTTACTCCTTGTGACTTCTTCAACTTTTTGTTTCCATACTAACTTATGCCTATAAATTTCTAAGGGCCAAGTTAGTTTTGTCTTATGAACGGATGTTTATTTCTTGTTGATTTTAGTTTTTTAATTTCCATCATGAAAAATGCCTGGGTTAGTCCAGTGTGGACCAAGACTCAGTGCTGTCCCACAGTGGAGTCTGCCCAACTACTGGCATTTCCTTCTGCGGACAAGAGCTAAACCATGGTAGTCTGATGGTGGGTGTGTGGCCCCAACTGCAGAGTCATGCATGTCTATAGGCTATGAGCCCTTCCATGCACACCCATGGCCCTCACATATTGCTGTTAAGTGCTGTCAAGTATGACTCAGCAAACCTATGAACAACAGATGTGAACCCTGTCTTATCCTGTGCCATCCTCAAAACCTCTGAAATACTTGAGCCTATTGCTGCAGAGACTGTGTCAATCCACTTGGTTGAGAGTCTTCCTCTTTCACTGACCCTTCACCTTTCAAAGTATGAGGTCCCTCTCCAAGAATAACTCTCTCCTAGCAACATGCTCTGTTGCTATGGGAGCCTTCATATACACCTATGCATGTTCAACCCTCTCTTCACACACATGCACACATATGCACAGCACTCATAGCCCTTGCATGCCTTCACACACATACACGTGAACATATTCACTGCATATACATCCTTACACACATACCTTCACAGTGTAGTATGCACATGTATGCAGACAGACAAGCTCCATCCTCACATCCACACCATATACAACATTGCACACACACCTTACATGTGTGCACACTGCCAGGGCCAGTGGAAGGACAGAGAAAATTGAGTAACATTTCATCGAACCTGAGCTGAGAGAGACGGGGATGGCTGAGGACCACCTTTGTTGTCCTTCCTGAGTGAACATTACCCTGGGGTCCAGGCTAGTCAGGATAAAGGGCCTCAGAAGGGTGAGAAGGGCTCCATGGATGCTGGGATGGAGGAGTGGGACAGCCCTTCCGGGGGGGGTGGGGATGACAGAGGCATCCTCAGCAGGACTGGGGAAAAGCTCAGGGGTCCCCACCGCGGGTCTCTGTGCATGCCTCCCCAGAACCCCTTGGGCACGGTCACCTGGCCTTCTCTTATGTCCAAGGGCCTAGTTAGGATGGTGGCTGGTGTGGCTACTGCATGTGGGGGTCCCATGGCTGCAATGGCCTCAGAAAGCGGGGCAGGCCGGGGAGATACAGTGCTGGGCACTTCAGATGGGTGGGAGCTCTTAGGGGGCTGCACAGTTCTGGCTATGCAGCCGCAGGTGGACCCTGAAGGTATGGCTGAGGATGCTGAGGTACCTGGAGGTGGCCGCTTCCCCATGGGGGGCCCTGTGGAGCCACCCTCCCCTGGGCCTCGAAGGAGCTTGGGTCTGGGCCTGGAAGGGCCTGTGGGTCTCCGGTAGGGTGGGCATCTGTAAGCACTGGACCTTCGCCAGGAGCCCCAGCCCTTCAGCCTGTGGCCCTGTGGGTGCCGCCTGAGCCGGTTCACCTGGTCCTTGATGGCGACCATGTCCTGAGACAGGCTGGCCAGGGTGGCAGTGAGCCAGTCTAGCTTTCCCGAGAGGATGGTTCTGAGGCTGTGCAGCTCCTGCTGGAGGTCCCTACAGGAGCATGGTGGCCAGGAGGACCCACCAGGGATAGGGAGTGGAGACTTGGGCAAGACCGTGGTGAGGTGTGCCCCCTCAAAGTTGGCTGGAGCCAGAGGGCTGCTCAGAGTCTGTGGGTGAGGAGGACTGTTTTTATCCCTGGAGATTTCCTGTAAGGTGTGCTTGGCTACCACCTCACCTGTGACAGGTGGGCTGCCACATCCAAGCTCCAGGTCCCTGGGCTTCCAGGCATCAGGTCCATGGGCAGGCCTGATGAGCTGGCAGGGCCTGCGCTGTCCCTGTTTCAGGGCAGTGTGAGAAGGACCAGTGGATCCTGCAGAGGGCAAGGAGGTATGCAGTCGGGTCTCAGGCAAGGACAGCGAGCAATTCTGACGCAAGGATCCTGAGAAATGGCCTGGAAAGTGAAAATCAGACTTAGAGCATTCTGAAAGCTGCAGGCAACATGTGTGGTGTGACAGTGACACGCAGATGATATGCAAATGTGAGGTGCCACAAGATGCGGCAGGCAATGTGTGAGGTGTGTAGCAGACACGCAAGGGGTGACAGTAACACACAGGTGACGTGCAAGGTGGACATATGACAGAAAGGTAGTATATGAAGTGTGTGACCTCAGATGGCATGTGACAGACAAGTGAGGTGCAACATGTGATGCAGGTGACACAAGGTATGGCATGTAATATGTGACCTGACACGCAGGCAACATGCAGGTGATGTGAGGTGCAACATGTGACATGAAGGCGACAGGGGGTAAAAACATGTGATGTGTGGCTATGATATATATATAACACATGACATGCACAACATGTTAGGTATGACATGACAAACAGGCAACATACAAGGTGTGACATGACATGCAGGTGACATGAGGTGAGACATTCAACACATGACACACAGGTGACATCAGAATTGTGACATGTGACTGCAGACAATATGTAAGGCAAGCACCCCTCCTGGTCTTGCAGGCATGGCCTGTGGCTGCTATGAGCAGGGCGCTATGAGCAAGGTGCTATGGGCAGGGTGCTTGGACAGGGTGCTTAGACAGGGTGCTATGGGCAGGGTGCTATGGGCAGGGTGCTATGGGCAGGGTGCTTGGACAGGGTGCTATGGGCAGGGTGCTATGGGCAGGGTGCT